CAGTGGATAGAGCGTCTGCCTGCGGACTGAAGGGTCCCAGGTTTGATCCCCAGTGGGGGCCATGCAGGAGGCAGCAGATCAACGATTCTCTCTCATCACTGATGTTTCTCTCTCTCCCTCTTCCTTCCTCTCTGAAATCAATAAAAATATATTTTAAAAAAAAAATCAACCAACGAATGCATAAGTGAGCAGAACAACAAATCCGTGTTCCTCTTGCTCTCCTCCTCTAACCCCCCCTTCCTCTCTCTCTAAAATCAATTAATAATTTTTTTAATTTTCACAATGGGGTCACCCAGGCAGACTCCCATCCCGGGCACGCCTTCCTGTGTGGGAGCAGGAAGGTGTCAGGGCCCTTCCGGTGACCCTCCTGGGCCCAGGCTCCCCGCCTGGCCATAGGCACGGACAGCCGACCTGGCTGGCACATCCGGCTCCAGAGAGGGGAGCAGCAGAAGTTCCGGCAGCAGGGAGCCCTCTTACGCAAACACCACGCACAAAAATAATTCTCAGTCAAAGCACGACCTGCTGTGGGCCTGGCCAGGCCTTCCCAGCACAGAGCCCTCTGCAAACACTCCGCTTTGCCCCTGAGTGTGGCTGGAGGAGGGGCGCGCGGGCACAGCTGCATTTCACTCCACCTTTTCCAGAGGCATCCCCATCGGCTGCAGCTTCCTAGTGACCTACTCACTCAGGGAGCTTCCCAGAAAGGGACAGTCTCAAAGCACCCCAAGAGAGGCCGAAACCTTTGCAGAATCAACGGTAGCCCAAGCAAATACTTGTCCAGCAACAGCAAGCTCCAGACCCACACCATGCACGGACCTCCTACTGCAGATCCTGATCAGATGTTCTAAGAGATAGGGAGTCTCACTGTTATCGTCCCATTTCACAGACGGGAAAACGGAGGCTCAGAGATGTTATGTACTACACATACCCCACGGCCCTTTACACATCACGTTGCCCTGAATCTGCTAATAAAGTAGCAAGATATTCAGGAGGGGCCCCAGGTCGTCCTCTCCCACTCCCCCCTCCCCTCCCCAGGAGTTAAAACAGAGATAAGAATGTGGCTGAAATCGGAGTCATTTCCAAAGCCAGGGCAGCACTGGAAATGGCCCCTCACATCACTGATCCCCACACTCCTGGTTACAACATCTCCAGGCAACAGAACATTGTTTCAGTCAAGGGTGTTAGGGAGACCTGTTGGCTTGACCTCCAGAACCATGTCCCGCCGGCCCCCCTCATCCAAGACATCACTCCAGCTCTGAGTCAGCCTCCTAGCAGCTGAAGCAAATTTTTTAAATTTATTTTATTGATTTTGTACAGATAGGAAGGGAGAGAGATAGAGAGTTAGAAACATCGATGAGAGTCATTGATCAGCTCCCTCTTGCACACCCCCTACTGGGGATATGCCCGCAACCAAGGTACATGCCCTTGACCGGAATCGAACCCGGGACCCTTCAGTCCCCAAGCCGATGCTCTATCCACTGAGCCAAACCGGTTTCGGCTGAAGCAATTTTTTTTAACATTGTTTTTCCACCTTATAAAAGCAGATTGGAAAAGTCAACAGAAGATACAAAAGGAAGTAAAAACCACCATATGTCCAGGATCTAGAATTTACCTCTGTAAAAAATCAGCCTTCTAGTTTTCTCTGTGTACATCCTGCACGTGTGCAGACATCTAATTATCTTTGTGAAGTTGGTACTATAGTATGGCGTTATGCCATTTTTACCCTCTTTATTATATAGTTTCCAGTTTACAAACTAACCTTTTTCTAAAGATGCTTTTTGGTTTGGGTTTGGGTTTGGGTTTGGGCTTGGGCGAGAGGAGGTAAGGTTGATACGTGCACATGGTCCCGCAGTCAGAAAGGACAAAGGAGTCTCTACAGTGAAAACACCATCTCTCCATCCATCCCTCAGCCGCCGTCTCCCTCCCCTGGGGCAACTGATTACCCGTCTTGTGTACCAACTAACCTTTTAAAACCGTAAATCAGATCCGATCCCGTCACTCTCTCTCCAGTGGCTTCCATCGCCCTGGCCGTAAAACCCAGGCTCCTAACCAGTCAGTCCTACCAGGTCCCCGTGCCCAGGCTCCGCACCCCTCGGATCTCCCCGGTCCCCCTCCGGCCACACGGCTGTTGCAATTCCAGTTCTGGCCTCGACCATTTTTCATCTGCTTCCTTCCTTTTTGTGCCACTGGCTCCTTACCTCAGGCCTCACGGAGCTGTCCCCTCCCCAGGGCGGCTCTCACTGGCTTCCCAAACGAGGGCCACCCCTGCCCACCCCCCACACGTATGTTCTCTATCCTGTCACCCCATTGCTGGCACGTGTAGGTGCTCAACCAATTTCTGTCAAAGGAATGGCTGGGGATGGCTGCACTGGCTGGTTCTCATCCCCGGACGCCCACCTGCAGGACCTCCGAGCGCCAAGACCCAATCACCTGGCCATCCTCCCTCCTGGTGGGCTGGGAGTCAGAGGGTCAGGGGACGGAGAGAGAGCCCATTGTGTGAGAGAGAGGCAGCGTGGGTAGCCGGCAGCTGCCTGCTCTTCCCCTGTCCCCCGCTCAGAGTCCGGAATCCAAGGAGCTGGGACAAACCCACATTCCTAGAAAATACTCTGTATACAAGTGGAGCGTTGGGAGGGGACACTGTGGTCCCATCATGTACCCCACATCCCATATCCATTCCACCCAGGGCAGCTGGGATATTCCAGGTTCCCAAGGGAGCCGCAGCCAGCAGGCAACAGACACTGCCTTCCCCAGGAACAGCCCCGCCAGGCCCGGCCCGGCCCACCTGCCTCTTCCCCGGGGCCCCAGACACCTGGGCTCGGCTCTCTGGAAATTCACCCAGCCCAGAGACACAAATGCACATCCAATCCCAGAGCCAGCAGCCCGTGCCCTGTCCTCAGGGGCAGGCCCCCCGTGGAGACACTTCCTGGGGCCTGATTTCCACTGAGAACACTGCCGTTGGGCCAAGATTGATTTTTTTTAAAGGAGGGAATGAAGTACCTTTCATAAAAATTGTTAAGAAAGAGAGGGAGGAAGGAAGGGGCACGAAAGAAAAGATAAAAGGCTTAACAAGATGGAACTAGAAAAAGGAGTAAGGGAGGATTTAACCAGCGGAAAACAGGAAAGGGTGGGAAGTGTGAGGTTTCTCCCTTCTCAGAAGGGGACAATTATTATTGTAATTGATAAAGTGAGCACAGTTCAGAAGTGTTCTCTGGGCTCTGGGCAAGGTCAGGTTAGCAATAAGGACAAGAACAGCTAACATTTCCCCAGCACTTACTCTGTGCTGGGCACTGTGTGCTTTATTCATAAGCCTTTTGATCCTCAAGACAACCCTATGAAGAAGGTACTGTTCGAATTTAAACCCATTTCCCAGACAAGCAAAGCGAGGCACAGAGCAGTCAGATCAAACTGCTCAAGATCCTGTTGCCAGTGGCAATACCGAGGGGATCTACTCCAGAGCCTGGGCTCTCAACCACTAAGCTATGCTGACTTTCAGAGCTACAATGAGAGGGGTCCCTGCCTTCCTGCAGTTCCTGCCTTGCAAACCACTATTCTTGTTTAATTTTTCTTTCAGACCACTATTCTTTAACTAATTATTGGATGCCAATTCCAAAGATGTGTGCATACCTTTGCCCACTCTGCATAAGAGGGAAATCTAGAAAAGAACACGTTGGTGGAGAACGGTCCCCCGTGTCTGTCCTGAACCCCAGCATCTGGAACGCCGCCTCCTCAGGGAGCAGCCCGCGGGAGCCAGGGTCCCTGCAAACGCCCCCCGGAGGGAGCAGCAGCATCTTCCCTGGCTGCTTTCGCCGGACCCTTCCCCAGCGCCGGGGCGCCCCGCCCGGAAATTCCCACAGAACCCAGCAAACTTCCCAGGAAGACTCCCCGGCTTCCTCCCTGCCCGGGCCCGGGCCCGGGCCCGGCCGCGGCTGCCAAGAGCGCCACTGGAGTCCTCCCAGCTGCCGGCCACCCCGCGGGCGGAGCCGCCGCTGTGCGCTGGGGTCCCCCCCGGAGAGGTCCGGGGCTCAAGTTCAACATGCACTTCCCGCCCGAGCACAGCCCGGGGCTCTCCGGACACCCCGGCCCCCCGCCCCGGCCACTCCGGTCCGCCCCCCGCCCCCCGCCCCGGCTCCGGAGGAGTCACCCAGCAGCTGCCGGCTGGTCCCGCAGCTGGAGACCCCGCGGCCATCCCCGCGCGTCTCGGGACTCGGAGCAGAGTGTGTGCACGCGGGTGTGAAGCAGAGGGAGACACAGAGACACCGAGACAGTCAGAGATCGAGAGCAGGAGAGAGACTGTGTGTGTTTACGCACCGGCCGCGCGGGTGGGAAAACAATGGCGAACCGCTGGGAACAGGACTGGCCCCCCCCACCTCCCACCCCCGGGCGCGATGTGCGCTGACGGTGAAACCGGGAAGAAAGGCTCACCTCCGGCATTCTCCGGCGGGAGGCGGGGGGCGCAGGGAGAAGGTGGGAGGTGGAGGCGGGAGGGGGTGAGGCGGGAGCAGCGGCGCAGAAAACAAACAGGATGCAGCGCCCGGCTGGCCGGCGGGGGGACCGGCCTGGAGGGCGGGCAGGGTGGCTCTGGCGGGAGCCCCGCACCCCACACACAGGGCGGGGCGAGGGGGAACCTCCGTCTGGGCGCCGGCCTCGGAGACCCGCTCGGGGCGCTCCCAGGTCGCCGGGGCTTCCTGCCGGGAAGTCCTTGAACGGGGCGAGGGGACGGGATGCCGCCGTGCGAGACCCGACGCCGCGCCGCCGGGAGCGGGCTTCGCGCGGGGCGCACGGGCACCGGCACCGGCCCGCGGCCTCGCCAGCGGCCACCCCGCTCCGCGCCGACCCTGCCGCCGACCGGCGCTGCTGGGGCCGGGAGGGGACCCATCCTTCCTGGGAAAACTTTGCAAAGGATGGAAATCGCAGCGATGAGAGGCGCCGTGTGCCCAGACCCGCGGGGGCGCGAGTGTCAAACTTCCGAGGGCGGGAGGGGGCGCGAGGGGGGCACTTACTACTCCGCCGGGCTCCGCGCTCCGGGCTCCGCTGCTGCCGCTGCTGCTCCGCCGCCGTCCTGCGCCGCGGCCGGCTTCCCGCTCACATGCCCGGCGCAGCGGCCGCGCGGGGCGGGGAGGGGCACGCCCCCCGCCGGCGGCCAGCGCCTCGCTCCGGACTCCGGGCCGCCCGGGTGCGCGCCCAGCGGCCGGCGGCGTCCCGGGCGGGGCTCCCGGCGGCCAGGCCGCTCTCCGCTCTCCGCTCTCCGCCCTCTGCCCTCTGCCCTCGGCTGCGGCCGCCTTCCTGCCCCGGACTCGCCCGGACGCGGCGCCGGCCCGCCGCCCGGCTCCCCGGCTCCCCGGCCCCGCGCCCGGGCTCCGTCCCGGACGAGCCTCCGCGCGGCCCGCCGCCCCGGGTGGTGGGGGCACCCGCACCCGCACTTCGCTCCCCGGCGGGACTGCGAGCCGGCGGCGCGGCGGCTCCACAGCCTCCGAGGAGAAAGAGGGAGGGAGGGAGACACGGCGGGCAAGGGGAGGAGGAGGGAGGGAGGAAGGGTGGGGAGATGAAGGAGGAGGAGGGAGTGACAGAGAGTTCCCTCCTCCTCCCTGCAGCCAGGTCCATCCTGGCGTCGGGAGCCGCAGACCTCGGGTGCAAAGGGGAGAGCGGAGGCTCCCGAGAGGCGAGGGCGGGTGGGGGCAGAGAGAATATTAAAGAGACGTGGATCCTGCCTTCTCCCACGGCCCAGGAAGGAGGAGGGTCCTACAGAAACTCTTAGCTCCTTAGGGCAAGCCCCAAGAAGTTGTCCTCCTCCAGCTCCCAGCGTCCTAACCCCTTCAGACAAATAAACTCGATGTTGGGTTTTTAAAACCCCCATTTCAGAATCTCCCTTAGGAACCTCATCCCTCCGGCAGCTAGACAGCTCCCTGATGCTTCCAACCAGTCCCTAGTCCTGTCATCCTGGTGAGTTTTTCCTGACCTGTTCTGGAGGGGTGGGTTCCTTTAATTCAGTGTTTCCCAAACTTTTTTTTTTTAATATATTTTATTGAGTTTGTACAGAGAGGAAGGGAGAGAGATAGAAAGTTAGAAACATCGATGAGAGGGAGTCATCGATCAGCTGCCTCTTGCACACCCCCCACTGGGGATATGCTCGCAACCAAGGTACATGCCTTTGACCGGAATCGAACCCGGGTCCCTTCAGTCCCCAAGCCGACGCTCTATCCATTGAGCCAAACCGGTTTCGGCTGTTTCCCAAACTTTTGACATATGTACCCCTTCTATAATTTTCGTAACGCTGAGTACCCCTCGTACTCATGAGAACGTAGAATTAGGCGCAGCTAAGCACAGTGCAGTGCATATCCCCACCAAACTCTGGTGCAACGTGTACCCCCACCAAACTCTTCCCGTACCCTACCACACTTTGGGAAACACTGCGAGTTTAATTCAATGTATTTTTTAAAAATATATTTTGTAGATTTTTTACAGAGAGGAAGAGAGAGGGACAGAGAGTTAGAAACATTGATGAGAGAGAATCATCGATAGCTGCCTCTTGCACACCCCCCACTAGGGATGTGCCTGCAACCAAGGTACATGCCCTTGACCGGAATCGAACCTGGGACCTTTCAGTCCGCAGGCCGACGCTCTATCCACTGAACCAAACCGGTCTCTGCTCAATGTATTTAAAAAATAAATAAATAAATAAATAAAAATAAAAAAATAAAAACTAGAATACGCCTGGCCCAGCTGGGTGCAGGGGACGCCAGGATAAATGAGAGAGTGCCTTGCCCTGTCTGGATCCCCACTTAGTGAGGGAGACAGATGAGGGAACATATCATGACAGTGTGGAGCAGGAGTGCTGAGACGAGGCGGGCTCAGGAGGCATGGCGCCCCCTTAAGCACCTGGGCCGGAGGGGGGGTCAGCAAATTCCTGGGGAAAGAAAGTATCATGTGAGCTTTGGAAGGACCCGGGGGAGTGGAGCAGGTTAAAGGAGTGGCAGTGGTGGATCTGCAAACAACGTGCCCACGGTGTAGGCGACCAGGGTCTCAGCAATTGATGGTCAGCTGGCCACACAGACCTACTAAAGGCGTGAGATTTCATCATCCCCCATCGCCTTCGTTGCTGACTCTTTCCATTCAACTTTTCCTTCCCACTGTAGATATCAACTCTCCTGGAGCCTCTCTTGACAGGCCAATCCGGGTCAGGCGCCCAGTCTGTATAAGGGCTCCAGAGGCCCCCAGTCGCAGATAGTGTGAAAACAGTCCATTTGTCTGTCACACACACACACACACCCCACACTGGACTGTAAGCTCCACTAGGGCGGGGGGGTGTCCTCGGGTTGGCAAAGAGCAGGCCCTTGAAAAGTACTTGCTGCCCAGCCGGCATGGCTCAGTGGTTGATGATCCACCTATGAACTAGGAGGTCATGGTTCAATTTCAGGGCAATGCCCAGGTTGCAGGCACGATCCTCAGTAGGAGGCATGCAGGAGGCAGCCAATCAATGATTCATCATTGATGCGTGCTTCTCTCTCTCTTTCTCCCCTCCCCCCTCCTTCCTCTCTGAAATCAATAAGAATATATTTTTTAAAAGTACTTGTTGATCATTTGGTTGATTGAAGGGAACGGGGAGTCTGTAAGGAATTCTAAGCAGGGCCTCTGCGGAGATCATCCTAGCCGGAGGCCAGGGCAATAACCGGAGACCGGCGTGGGCTAAGGCGGGGGTAGGGAAGACAGAAAGAAGGGAACAGGTGACGATAAGAAGGTCAGAGGAATCGGTATTCACTCATCACAGCCTGGCTTTTGGGTGACTGTGGATGAAGCCATCTCGGAAACCAGGGGAGTTAGCCAGGGCCACCAGCCAGCATGCCTGTGTTTGCCATATACTCGGATGTTTTTCTCTGGCTCCTGATCAAGCTTCAGTGGGCAGCTTCGTTATAGGTTCCTACCTGTAGCTGTCCTTAGCAACTGCAAACTGAGAGAGGAAGAGCAGGGAGGTAGGAAATGGGAGGTGAGCTGTCCTCTCTCCAAAACCCCCCCATCCATTGTATTTCCCTTCATAGTTGTCCACTCTTCCCTAGCGCTGCCACTAACTTGGGGTATTTTTAGTTCCTGCCTTCTATGTTTTATGGGTGGAGCTACTTTCATGCACAGTATGCTCTCCCCTGCTGGCCCAGTCACCCCTTACTGTCCTCCCTTGCCAGCCTGTTTGCCCCTAACTGCTCTCCCCTGCAAGGCCTGGTCACTCGCAACTGCCCTCCCCTGCAAGCCTGCTTACTCCCAACTGTCCTCCTCTGCAGGCCTGATTGCCCCCAACTGCCCTCCCTTACAGGCCTGGTCCCTCCCAACTACCCTTCCCTGCTGGCCATCTTGTGGCGGCCATCTTGTGTCCACATGGAGGCAGCCATCTTTGACCACATGAGGGTGGCCATCTTTGTGTGTTGGAGTGGTGGTCAATTTGCATATCACCTCTTTATTATATAGGATTTCCTAGGCACACCTATCACATTTACACCATTTAACCCAGCTGCCCACTCCCTCCTTGAAACACTCACTTCACAACTTCACTCTCCCCTCAATTCCCTCTGGCCTCCTGGCTGCCTTCCTCAGCCCCCACCCTCCAACCCCCATTTTTCTATATCCCTTCCTCTACCCTGGTCTCCTAATGGGTGTTTCCTGTGCCACCTTTTCCTTTCTCTGTACCTTCTGTCCCTAGGTTAAATTTTATTAGTTTCCATAGTTTAAATGACAACTATATGTTGATTATCCTTTCTATTTTTAAAAAATATATTTTATTGATTTTTCACAGAGAGGAAGAGTGAGGGATAGAGAGTTAGAAACATCAATGACAGAGAATCATTGATCAGCTGCCTCTTGCTCACGCCCCTCCCCCTCCCCCCGGGAATGTGCCCACAACCAAGGTACAATGTCCTTGACTGGAATCAAACCCAGGACCTTTCAGTCCGCAGGCCGATGCTCTATCCACTGAGCCAAACCGGTTTCAGCTATCCTTTCCATTTTTTTTATTTAAATCATTACATCTGTTTCATGTACTTCAGACGCATGTATCCAACTGTACACTTGACATTCCTACCCAAGGATCTCACACATACCCCCTAAACATCACATGTTCAAAAGTGAACCTGTAGCTGAAGCCGGTTTGGCTCAGTGGTAGAGCGTCGGTCTGCGGACTGAAAGGTCCCAGGTTCGATTCCAGTCAAGGGCATGTACATTGGTTGCGGGCACATCCCTGGTGGGAGGTGTGTAAGAGGCAGCTGGTCGATGTTTCTCTCATCGACGTTCCTAGCTCTCTCTCTCTCTCCCTTCCTCCTCTCTGAGAAATATCAATAAAATATATTAAAAAAAAAAAAAAAAAGTGAACCTGTATCCCCTACTCCCAAGCCTGCTGACACCCTTCACCATCTGGCCCATCTCAGGAAGAGGTCCACCACCTCCCCAGTGGCTGAGGCCTAAGACTCATCCTGGATTCCTCCTTTTCCATCTAATCCAATCAGTGCCGCTGACCCATCTCCAAAAATACGTGCCAATCCATCCCCCTTCCCTTTCCTCGCTGCCCCCACACTGGCCCAGGCCTTCATCCTCTCAGCTGGACTCCCACAGCCTCCCTGCCTCTCAGCGGAGACCACCTGCAGGCGCATCATTGAGCGAAGGCTGTTTCCGCCCACGTGACTTCAATATTTGGCTCAGAGATTTCTCGTCCGGGAAGATAAGACTGTAAACCAGTAAATAACTTCATTATTTGCTTCCGAAATTTCCTGAAAATCCATTTATCTGAACAATAGACTGCCCCAACAACCCCCTCCCTGGGATAATAGTTTGCTTAACCCGGCAAACCACCAGCTTATCGAACAACTGTTTATTTTTCGAGATCCTTCCCTCGCCATGTCCTCCAATCCTAAACTGTTATCTCGCAGATTCTGCCCAGCCTCAATCAGATCTTCCATACTGAAAACGTGCCTTAAAGTAGGCTTCAGACCCTGTAAGTACCAGTTTATCTGGGGAGCACCTCCTCCCCCCCGCTCCTGCTCTTCCCAGAGCTGGCTCCTCTTCACCCTCTGGTCTCAGCAAACGTGTCCCTTCCTCTGTCCTCTTCCCCACCCGCAATCATCCTCTCCCCTCTTACCCTCCTCGGGCCCTGCTTCCTTCAGCACTTAGCATGCAGTTGGGACTTACTCCCTCTGTTTTCTTGTGCTTTTTCTCTCTCCCCTGTAGTCTGTGTGTCGGCTGTGAGGGAAGACCTTGCCTGCTCTAATTTCCGCTTCATTTCCAGAGCCCAGAGGATAGTTAGACCTCACCTAATGATGTCAATAGATTCTTGGACTTTTTAAAAATATATATATTTTTTTCTTGACTTCTTATAGAGAGGAAGGGAGAGAGATAAGAGCTAGAAACATGGATGAGAGAAAAACATAGATCAGCTGCCTCCTGCACACCCCCTACTGGGGATGTGCCCGCAACCAATGTACATGCCCTTGACTGGAATCGAACCTGGGACCCTCCAGTCTGCA